TGATTGTGGCCTCTCTTGCTTCTTCCCGGTTCTGCCTACATGGGATATCCACCCTGACCAATCTTTTGGCCTCCTTTGGTTTCTGTTACCAAGCAAACATTCTTAGCATCCTCTGGGACTTCACCAACACTCTCATTTTGTGGCTTACTGCCTGGCTTGCCGTCTTCTACTGTGTGAAGATCTCCTCCTTCTCCCACCCTACCCTCTTTTGGCTCAAGTGGAGGATCTCTCGGTTAGTTCCCAGGCTACTGCTGGGCTCTCTCATCATGGGGGGCCTGTCAGGCATTATATCAGCCACTGGGAACATCATTGCTATCCAGATGATCATCTCCCAGGATTCCCTTGGGAATTGTACTCTTGGCCACACGACAATGGATTTCTTTCGGTACACTTACCTGTCGCATATAGCGCTCTTGTGGTTAACTCCTTTCTTCCTGTTCCTAGTGTCTTTTATCTTGCTTATGTTCTCACTGCACCGGCACGTGGGGAAGATGAGGGACCATCGGCCTGAGCCTGGTGATCTCCGGACTCAGGCTCATACCGTGGCTCTAAAATCCCTTACCTTCTTCTTCATCTTCTATATATTATTTTTTCTGTCCCTGATAAGTTTTACTACAAAAACCCAAACCTTGCCGAATCAGTGGCTTTGGCCCAGAGAAGTCATTATCTACGTGGGCATCTCTTTGAACTCCATCATCCTGATGCTTAGCAACCCCAAGCTGAGAAAGAGCCTGAAGATGATTTTAAAGCATCCGTGCTGCGCTAAGCTTTGAGGGCCTTGGTCCAAAGGTATCTCTTCTCTCAAGTGATCAGTGTCAGTCCTGTGACAAATGAGCTCACGTGTAGCAAGAATTCATAAGGCCTGGTCCTTCTTTCTTTTCAACTACTTCCATGCTCCACATTTCCCCCCTAACTCTCTGTGTTTCTCTCGTCCCCTTCATTTCTAGTAGTTCCTGGTCAGTGTTCCAAATCACCCAGGCTTTTAATAGCCAATGGCCTCAGTTCCTCTGAGGTTCCTGTGTCTCTCTATGAAAGCAACCCAAATCCTATTCTCTGAGCCTCATTTCTGTCTGTACTCCCTCTAGGAAGACATGTAACCATTATCAGTTGCTTCCATGGCACAGATTCCTGCATGCCACCCACCTTGTGACCCCAACTGTCCCCCTCAGCTCTTTTCAGTTCTACTTTTTCTCTTCTTATTTCCTTCTTTTCTGTCCCTTCCTGATCTGTGCCACCCTCATCATTTGTACCCCGACTAAGGCTGATCCCACCAAAAGGCCCTTTTCAGATTGGCCTAGGAGACTGAGGGCGGTAAGAGTCTATGCTTCTGCAGACCCTACCCATGACCTCATGTTCAGTGAAGATGCTCTGTCTGATGTGGAAAGATGTTTATGTTTTGGCCTATTGAAGACAGAAGGAAAACAAAGGAAATTCTCAGCTTTTGTTTTGTGTCCGTGCTGGCCATCCAGCCCTGGGCACTGCCTGTGCTAGACGAGGACTCAAGGACAGAACTATAAATTCATCCCTTGGCATTTTTGAGATCAGTTCACACATAGCTCAGGTTACTCACAATCCTCCTGCCTCAGCCTTCTGAGTGCTTTGATTATAGGCAAGCGGACAAGCTACGCTGCAATTGTTAATTTTGATAATCTTATTTCTACTTCTCTTGCCCAGGGGGCATTTCCTGGATGCTGTTGCTCAGGTTAACGTTCTACAGACTGGGATTTGGGGAAAGTGACATACTGGGAGAGGAAAGAAAAATATGGCCATTTCAATTTTCATTTACTTTTATTTTAAGTTCCCATCTTTTAGGGCATGTTTTACAATGCACACAATACAACAGTGAAGTGACTGTGGTTATAATAATAAATATGCATATAGTTGTGTCTTGCTTGGTTTAGGCTCTGCATCAGGGGATCATAGACTGCATGACTATTTCTTACAGTGCTAGAGTCTGAAATGTGGTGTGCCAGCGTGGCTGGTTTCTGATGACATCCTCCTTCCTGAGTGCAAACATCTATCTGTACACTAATGCGGCAGAGAGGAGTCTGGGATCATTTTATTAGTCCACCATTTCTTTCAGAGACACCATCATGGCCTCAAGTGAATTCCTGATGGAACTCAAGCATAATACTTAATATATGTGCATTTCTTTTGAAATTACTACGTGTGGTGTGTGTGTGTGTGTGTGTGTGTGTGTGTGTGCATGTGTGAATGCCCACCAAGGCCAGGAGGCTCCAGTTATGGGCTGTGTGAGCCTGCTGACATGGGTGCTAGGAACCAGTTTTTGGGTCCCCCTGAAAGAGCCGCAAGCACTAAGTACTCCTTAACCATAAAGCTATCTTTCCAGGCTCCATCCTTGTGTTTCTACTGCCTTTACCTTTGCCTTACTCTTTTGACATACAGCACAGCATTTTATTCATGTCCACAATATTTTCAACACTTATTTATGGTGCGTCTGTGTTGAGAATGGGGGGCACATGATACGGTAGACAGTGGAAGCCAGAGGATGCCTTTGAGAAATAGGGTTTCTCATTCCACCGTGCGGGTCTTGGGGATCGAACTCAGCTTGTTAGGCTTGGTAGCAAGTGCCTTTACATGGTAAATCATGTAACCAGCCCTGCTGAACCCTTCTAAGAGTTCTTGGGAATGAGTAGAAAGATACATAGCATTTAAAAGACAGCTGTTTTCTCTTTTAATCTTTCTAATGCAGAACACTGAGTTAAAATTTCTATCCGGGACATCATTCTAGATTCTTATCAAACTACTTTCATATTTACTCTTATACAGGCTATGAACCAATGGTGGTGGTGCATATCTTTAATCCAAGCACTTGGGAGGCAGAGGCAGGTGGATTTCTGTGAGTTCAAGGCCAGCCTGGTCTACAGAGTGAGTTTCAGGACAGCCAAGAGCTGCTACACAGAGAAACCCTGTCTCGATGAAAGAAAAAAAAAAGACTATGAAAAACTCAAAATTATCAGACTTTGTGTCTACCTAAAAGCCAAATCTAAATAAGAGAAAGCAGGAATGATGAAAATCACCGTAGAAGATGAGGCTGCAGAGATGACTTAGTGGTAAGAGCACATACTGCTCTTGCAGAGGATTCAGATTCAGCTCCTAGCACCCACATGGTAGCTCCCAGCCATCAGTAACTCCAGTTCTAAGAGATCTGATAAGCTCTTATGGACACTGGGCATACACATGGTGCATGTTCATACATTTATGCAAAAACACTCCTACACAAAAAAATATAGTAAGTAAATGTTAGGAGCACACCATAAAATGCATTATGTATTTAAATATAAAAGACTCCTCAGCTTTTTGAATGAATTTAATTTGCACATATTATACGCACAGTAAATGTTTGTGGTTTGTGATTTGTGTATGAAGGCACTCTGAGGGCAGCTAATTCTCTGTTGCAGCCCGGTGCTCTTCATACCTTTATTATGGAATAGGAGACGCTTACAAATACCTGGTAAGGCAATGGAGGTTAATTGTACATCCTTAATCTTATGAGCCATCCACGGTGTAGGAGGAAGAAGGAAGAGATAGGAGTTTTCCCACCCGGTACGGTTTGTGGCTGCACACACTTCAGAGTTCAAAGACCCAGTCTGGTCTAGTAAGGTGAGCATCCAAACTGCCTAGGCTCCCACAAAGCCAGTGCGTGCAGTAGGATCAAAAATCCATTGCCATTGTTCTTGAGTTCTCAGTAGTCCTCATTGTCCGCTATTCAGAGAGTCTGGTTTTATCCCAGGCTTTTCCAGACCCAGGCCAGCTGGTCTTGGTGAGTTCCCAGTAGAACATCCCCATTGTCTCAGTGTGTGGGTATACCCCTCACGGTCCTGAGTTCCTTGCTCGTGCTCTCTCTCCTTCTGCTCCTGATTTGGACGGGGTTCCTTGGACTTCCCACAGGACAGGGAACCCTGATTGCTTTTCGGTCTGGGGGGGGGGACTTAATTGGGGGAGGGGGAGGGAAATGGGAGGCGGTGGTGGGGAAGAGACAGAAATCTTTAATAATTAAATAAATTTAAAAAAAAACAAAGACCCAGTCTGCCTCATTTTTCCAGGTTCCAGTAGAAAACAGTCAAGAGTCAGTCAAGGAAACCAGACACAGAAGAAAGTTTGGAACGCTGTTCCCTGGGAAGTGGCATTTTCACAGGAAGGTAGAATCACTGTGCTAATTTTGTGTGCCTTCCTTCCTTTACCCTTGAGATAGGATCTCTTCCTGAACAAGGAGTTCAACCCATCCCCGACAAGGCTGGTGACCAATCCCAGAATTCCTTGTGTCTCCCATACCCAGCAGGCAGATTGCAGGTTCTCATTAAATCTTAGAGTTTTCCATGGTTGCTGCGGAGAAAGTTCAGATCTTCATACTTGTGGGGCAAGCACTTCCTGAGCCATTTCCCCGGCCTGGTAATCTTTTTTTTTAAATTTAATGTTTTTATTTGTTTGTGTATATGTGTGCGCCCATGCTCTCAGCAAGGTGTCCTATGTGGAGACCAGAAGACAGCTTCGTGGAGCTGGTTCTCTCCTTTCACCTTTGTGTGGTTTCCAGGGAAGGAACTCGGGTCTCCAGGCTTGTGTGGTTTCCAGGGAAGGAACTCGGGTCTCCAGGCTTGTGTGGTTTCCAGGGAAGGAACTCGGGTCTCCAGGCTTGTGTGGTTTCCAGGGAAGGAACTCGGGTCTCCAGGCTTGTGTGGTTTCCAGGGAAGGAACTCGGGTCTCCAGGCTTGTGTGGTTTCCAGGGAAGGAACTCGGGTCTCCAGGCTTGTGTGGTTTCCAGGGAAGGAACTCGGGTCTCCAGGCTTGTGTGGTTTCCAGGGAAGGAACTCGGGTCTCCAGGCTTGTGTGGTTTCCAGGGAAGGAACTCGGGTCTCCAGGCTTGTTGGCAAGCAGTTACCTTGAGCCACTCTACTCTCCTAAAGCTTTAATGGGCAAAAGAATGCGGATCTAAATAGAATCCACAGTTGCTAAGGTAGAAGAAGTTAGAGGGGTGAGTAATGTTGCTAACTGTGGTGAGAGGCACTGGTCCTAGAAACAGTATTACTTGAGGCTTCACTTCTTTTATCTATGGAATCACCCTTGATGTCTTTACACAGCCATATCCAGCAAGGAAAGTCTGTATACTAGAATGAGAACTTTTCACATGCTAGAGAGGGGCATAAAGAAACAGGGGCTCCCTGGCATAATCAGACACTCACAGTGAGAAGTGGGACTTGGGTTGAAGCTGCCTCTGAGCAGGCTGCTCACTGCCTGTTCCATTGGTTTACAGCTCTCTTGTTGAGACACCATTGTGAAAGTCACTGCTGAGAGAACATTATCTATTTTTTTTTTTTGAGAAATTTCCTCTTCATTCTGTGTAACTGTCTCTCCTGCTCTATTCTGGGATGCTGAATCCTCAGCTGATTACAGCTAAGTAAGCTCTCTCAGGAGAGAAGTTTGAATCAGTTTCTGACTCTATGTAAAAGGGTTATTTTTCTTTTCTTTTCCTTCCTTCCTTCCTTCCTTCCTTCCTTCCTTTTTTCCTTCCTTGATGGAGGAAGGTCATTGGCTAATAAAGGAACTGCCTTGGCCCATTTTATTGGTTAGAACATAGGTAGGTGGAGTAAACAGAACAGAACGCTGGGAGGAAGAGGAAGTGAGCTCAGACTCCACAGCTCTCCTCTCAGGAGCATTCGCCTGAGAGAGATGCCATGCCCCGCTCCTGGGCAGACACATGCCATGAAGCAAGCCGCCAGGTTAGACATGCTGAACCTTTCCCGGTAAGACCGGTGCTCAGAGATTTTTAGAGATGGGTTGATCGGGATAACAGAATTAGCCAGTAAGGGCTAGGGCTAAAGGGCCAAGCAGTGTTTAAATGAATACAGTTTGTGTGTTGTTATTTCGGGCATAAGCTAGCCGTGCAGGCAGCCGGGGTGCTGGGAACGCAGCCCCGCTGCTCATATTACTACACTTCCTTCCTTCTTTCTTTCTTTTTTTTTTCAAGACAGGGTTTCTCTGTGTAACAGCCCTACCTGTCCTGGAACTAGTTCTTGTAGATCAGGCTGACCTCGATCTCAGAGAGATCAGCCTGCCTTTGCCTCCTGAGTGCTGGGATTAAAGGCGTGCGCCACCACCACCGAGCCTAAAGGGATATTCTTACTGCACCTCTTTCATAGGGTTGCTGTCAGAACTAAACACTTGTGGGGGCATCTAGAACAATGTTGAGAACCTAACAATCACCCCCCATCATGAACATGAGCTCTGCTATTCAGTAGGATTCATGTTCTGTAGATCTTATTACCAAGTAGCTCCAGGTGTGTGGTGTTCGGTATCAGCTTAGAGAAGTGCAGCTGCCTATGTAAGAGACACCATTTGCAAGGGCCTGATACATTATTCACACTGATGCTGACAATGGGTAGGGGATAGGCAAGAGAGCAGGCAAATTCACAGGCAGGCAGGTGGCCTTTGGAAACTCAGCCTTGGCAATATTTGCATCTGTTCAGAAGAGAAGAAACCTTTTCATCCCCCTCAGAGAGCCTGCAGCCTCACCTCTGGCTTCACGTCTACACTTCAGGCACGTGGAGAGACAAACATATTGGACATACTTCTTGGACCAACCAGTAGCCCTTTGTGAGACCCACCATGTCCACGGGAGAAATGAGCAGAGGTCACACAGTTCTGGAATGTCAGACTGTTGATAAGACAGTCACCACTTTATTTATCACTTTAATTCTGCTGTGCCTGGTGGCAGTGGTAGGCAATGGATCTATCATTATAGCCCTGGGCATGAAATGGTTGCTCCGGAGAACACTGTCAGCTCATAATATGTTGCTGATCAGTCTAGCAGCTGGTCGCTTCTGTCTGCAATGGGTGGTGATAGGTAAGAATATTTATGTTTTCCTGAATCCAACCGTCTTCCCATACAACGCTGTAATTCAGCTCCTAAATATAATGTGGGACTTCCTGACTGCTGTAACCATCTGGTTCTGCTCCTTGCTAGGCTTCTTCTATTGTGTGAAGATTTCAACCTTAACCCACCCTGTCTTTGTCTGGCTAAAGTTCAAGGTGCCTGGGTGGGTACCATGGATGCTACTCAGTGCTGTGGGCATGTCGAGCCTAACTAGTATCCTGTGTTTCATAGGCAATTATCTGATATATAAGAACTTTCTAAAGAGTGACCAACAACCTTGGAATGTCACGGGGAATAGCTTAAGAGTCTCATTAGAGAAATTCTACTTCTTTTACGTAAAGATGATTATGTGGACAATCCCTACTGCTATCTTTAGCATTTTCATGATTTTGCTCCTCGTATCTTTGATGAAACACACAAAGAAGACTCTTTTGACCTCGGGACTTCGGGATGTTAGAGCACAGGCCCACGTGAAAGCTCTCCTCATCCTCCTCTCCTTCATCATCCTTTTCATCTCCTGTTTTCTTACCCTGATACTTAGTTCTGACAGCAGTACACTCTTTCAGGAATTCAGGTACTGGGTGTGGCAGGTGGTGGTTCATCTGTGCACAGTGATACACCCCATTGTCATTCTCTTCAGCAACCCTGGGTTGAAGGTAGCGGTGAAGAGGAGATGCTGCTGAAGATCCAGGGCAGCTGGAATGGTGGCTGATGATAACCATGAACAGTTGGTCAGAAGGCATGAGAGCAGGGGACGTAGCTTCTTTTTTATGTTATATTTGGTATTTATTCCCAGTTTGGTACACATACTGATCCATGAATAACCTCAGTGCAATAGGATTCAAGGTGGCCTCCAAGACCCTGAAAATGAACAGAGTCACTGATACACATCATGTTATCTGTGGGGCTTGATGTCATCACAGGACCAGAGAGTTTTGACAGTCACTGTGATATATCTTTTGGAGGTTAAGGTTATCCCCTGGGAACTGGGTGAAGAGACCCTCACACACCACATGATAATTCCAGTGCTGAGTCAGACTGGAAAAGATGCTTATAACGTCTTCTTCTTTCCCTCTGGAGGCACTCCTGTGAACCACTCTTCCCTTTTCCCTGCTTCTCAGCAGTTTAGCCATTTGCCACGGAGATTTCTTTCCATCATCAGACACAAAACAAAGTAGTCCCTGCTCAAAATTCTCTAGACAGACCATGGTATACTTGGTGCTTGGGTACAGCAGTGTATGCCATCTTGAATGTTTATATTCTCAGATGACCTTCTGAGATCCCTCTGAAAGCCCAGGGTCTTGGATCCGTTTATCATCAAAGTCCTCTGCAATGGTCTGATTTTTGAGTCTTTTCTGTAAATTTTCAGTTGTGGCTCAGACTTACCTTCTCTTATGTTGATATAGGGATGGGCTGAAGCTTTTGATATGGACAAGATCATCTGTGTCGATGGAACTTAGGCTTAAGAACAGAAAGACTGAGGAACTGCAGACTGCATTTCTGCTTCCCTACACTAGTTATCCTTTGAGCTCTTCAAACAGACATCTCTCAACTTCTGGTCCCTTGAACATCTCTCAGACAGCTTTACTTTCTGTTTGCGGCTGCTCCTCCCAGCTCCTCTGTGTTAGAAGAGAGATCCCTTTTGCATTTTCCAGATTGACCTTTGTGCTCTTGGCCACATTGCTCTTCTCTAGTCCTTCAACTAAGACAAAAATGTCCTTTTACATTTTGCAACCATTCCATTCTCTTTTTATTACTCTTTTCTTCTGCAACAAATACTCTTCTGAAGTTTCTTTTCTGAAAAACAAAAACATTCCCTCCCCTAATTTCCTCACCAAGGGACCAGTTGCCAACCAGCTCCTTGCTGAGCTTGCCTTTGCTCCTCCTTCCAAGCTATTAAAGTGTGTTTCTCTAAGAACACATATGATCGCCTACTCATTTTACATTATCCTGACTCTCATTCTCCTATAGCTTTTGGTGTCTACCTCTCTTGATAGCAAATGGTTTCTTAGGAAACTGTTTTTTTTTTTTTAAACGAAAGTTCTACGTAATCTTTGTAAAGGGTTAAGAAAAAGATTGCAAACATGGTTAGCTATGATCTATGCCCTTAATTGTCTAGAATCCAATCCCATCTCACTCCTTCCTGTTCAGATAAGGCCTCCAGGTGGGTAATTACCAAACTCTAAACCTGTATTTTCTCTCACTTGCTGAATTTTATCACCTACCAGTTCATGAGCATTTCACACACAACAAATTCAGGTCCCCCCCCCCCCCCCCCCCCCCCCCCCCCCCCCCCCCCCCCCCCCCCGCTTCGGTGTTCTTTCCTTGTGTTCCTACTAGCCCCTCCCATTGTCCTGGCGCAGCATTGTTCTACCACTTAAATGGGGGTAAATTCAAACTTCTAAGTTTTCATTCCCCACTTGGTATCTAAACAAAACCAGCATAAGAACAGCACTGTGGGCAAGGTAATATGAACAGGGGAAATTCTACATTGTCCCACCCCTAGGTGAAGATATACAGGTGGTTGATGCTTACTGAGAGAAGGAGACTCAGTTGTTTTCAGGGATGAACTCCATATAGGTTGTCCAAATCCAAGAGGTCATCGCTGAGCACAGCAGAACTGAAAGGATGTAGTAGGTTATACACACACACACACACACACACACTCCTTCCTTGTTTCTCTACCCAACTCCCTAGCACCATATATATATTATAAAATTGTCACCGTAAGTAATAGCCTATCAATATTTGAGGATGTTAATAAATATTATCTTCAAGAAAATTTATTTCATATGTATGTATACTCTAAAAAGATTAATTTATTTTTATTTTATGTGGATGAGGGGTTTTTCTCAAAGTATGTCTGTGAACCATGTGTGTATGTTGCCCATGAAGACCAGAGGAGGGTGAGATCTTTTGAGAACTGGAGTTACAAACAATTTTGAGCTGCTATATGGGTTCTGGGAAGCAAACCTGGGTCCTCTGTGAGGGCTGCAAGTACTCTTAACATGAGATAAGGTCTCATGTAGCTCAGTTAGTCAGGACCATTATGGAGCTGAGGATAATCTTCCGTCTTTACTTCCAAGTGCTGAATTGTTTCTATATTGGAAAGTTGTTAGAAACATTGTTTGAAAAAAATAGCATAATACATGGCTTTTTGATTGTCTTCATTATGTGTATTAATAATTATGTATGAATTGTCAGTGTATCTTAACACAACCAATAAAATATCGGTTATGAAAGAAAACAGCCTAGCCTCAGGTATTTTATTGTAACACTGCTATACTAAGATGACCACCATTACCACGCTAATCTCTGGAAGGCAAAACTCTGATCTATTCCAAGAATACACAAGCAGCTCTTGGTGCCTATCAGACCAAATGCAGGCCTCTGAACATGGTACTCAAATGCCTCTACAATCTGTCATCTTCCAGGAGAATCCTATGTTTCAGTGAACTAGGAACGTCACTGTGGTGAGTGAACCTGAAGCTGCTCCCTGCCACTGGGAAACGTTTCTCTATCACATGTACCTATCAGAATCCTAGTCAAATTTTTGCCTTTCTTCTTGATTTTTAAAGGTTGTTCCATATGCTCCTTCCCCACCGAAGCCTTTCTGTACGATCCCCAAGCTTTGATCTTTCCCACTTTTGAGGATATGCAAGTTAGTATTCTCCGATTGTGACCTGAATTCTACCTCATGGTGCCATTATTTGTAAGCTGTGTATTTCCTAGGAGATATTAACTTTTACAGGGATGGGTAACTGATGCTCTTCCGTGTGTGCTCTGCAATGTGTATAAGCGCTTACTGCCTTAAATAGATGGATCAGGGCACCTGACAGCCAACTAGGACACACATGCATTTGCCTGCTCAGTTTTGTGTGAGCTGCCTGTGACTCTTTGGCTAGGTTTAAGTGATAACCCTTTCATTAAGTCAGGGGCTAACTTTCTAGAATCCAAGTCTTTGTTTAATTTTCTATCTCAAGAATGTACCATAGAGGAATAAAAAAATGTAGAGGTGAGAGTGCACATACCATTTTGTGATAGCTGTTCATCCTTTTAAAATACATTAGCATGTTGCTAAGCAACTGTGCATCATCGGCTGTTAGGTACTTCCTATCACATCTCATAAGAAGCATGCCTTTGTTACTCACCCAGTCTTCCTCCCCAGGCTGCCCTATATATGCTTTTCTTTGTTCCTTTTGGGTTTCACATCATTAGCTAAGAGAAGCCTAGAATCTGAATGCCCTATCCACGGAGACAAGTTCATTTGGAGCTTGAGCTCACAGCAAAAGATAAGAAGCAAAGTTTGCTGCATTTAAGAATACTTAATGATTCACCTATTGTAGACTCCGTGACCCTTATTTATGGCTAGAGACCAATTATGAGCGAGTACATCCCATGTTCATCTTTTTGGGTCTGGGACACCTCACTCAGGATAGTGTTTTCTATTTCCATCCATTTGCATGCAAAATTCGAGAAGTCATTGTTTTTTACCGCAGCGTAGTACTCTAGTGTGTATATATTCCATACATTTTCTTCATCCATTCTTCCATTGAAGGGCATCTAGGTTGTTTCCAGGTTCTGGCTATTACAAATAATACTGCTATGAACATAGTTGAACAAATGCTTTTGTCATATGATAGAGCATCTCTTGGGTATATTCCCAGGAGTGGTATTGCTGGGTCCAGGGGTAGGTTGATCCCGAATTTCCTGAGAAACCGAAACACTGACTTCCACAGTGGTTGCACAAGATTGCATTCCAACCAGCAATGGATGAGGGTACCCCTTCCTCCACAGCCTCTCCAGCAAAGGCTATCCTTGGTGTTTTTGACTTTAGCCATTCTGACAGGTGTAAGATGATATCTCAAAGTTGTTTTGATTTGCATTTCCCTGATTGCTAAGGAAGTTGAGCACGACCTTAAGTGTCTTTTGGCCATTTGAACTTCTGTTGAGAGTTCTCTGTTCAGTTCAGTGCCCCATTTTTTAATTGGGTTAATTAAGTAAGAAGGTGAACCCAAGGAAAAACATATAGTTATCCTCTTGGCTAAGGAAAGTAGACAAAATTGCCGGGGAGAAAATTGGGATCTTGGGGGTGGGGGTGGGATGGGGGTAAGGGGAGATGGGGAGAGAATAGGTAGAAGGGAAGGAGGGGGGGGGACTTGGGGAAACAGGAGGACTGGGATAAAGGAAGGGTGGATAGGGGAGCACGGAACCACAATTCTTAGTTAAGGTAGCCACTTTAGGGTGGGCAAGAGACTTGACCCTAGAGGGGCTCCCAGGTGCCCAAGCTGAGGTTCCCAGTTAGTTCCTTGGGCAGCTGAGGATAGGGAACCTGAAATGACCCTATCCTAGAGCAATACTGACGAATATCTCGCATATCATCATAGAACCTTCATCTGGTGATGTATGGAGATAGAGACAGAGACCCACACTGGAGCACTGGACTGAGCTCCCAGGGTCCCAATGAGGAGCAGAAGGAGGGAGAACATGAGCAAAGAAGTCCGGACCACGAGGGGTGCACCCACCCACTGAGACAGTGGAGCTGATCTACTGGGAGCTCACCAAGGCCAGCTGGACTGTGACCGAAAAAGCATGGGATAAATCTGGACTCTCTGAACATGGCGAACAATGAGGGCTGATGAGACGCCAAGGACAATGGCACGGGGTTTTGATCCTACGCAAT